GTGTTCACAAAATAAATAAAATATTTACAGATATGAAAGTGGATAGATAAAGAGAAATAATGTGTTTAAAAATTACAATTTAACCCAAAATAAAAGTGATGTTAAGAATCCTTGGTATATTCACGTTTCACAGAACAACGAACCCGAAAAATAAAAGAGTATTTGGAATGTAATATGTTAAAGTTGTACGTTTCCGAAACTAAAAACACTGCGAACAGGTAGTGAGTGTCGTGACAAGTCTACTAAATTCCTGGAAATGGAAAGACGGCAGTTTTGCATTGATAGTAGAAATTTTTGTATTCCCGCTTTTATTTCGAATTTAAACAGGTATTATCATACAATTCACAGGTACATAAGCTGTAGTTTTATATTGTGGGTCCTTCATGTTACAGAGAAGTCACAATTGAATGAATGAATGAATTTGAAATAGTTACAATTAAAATATATTAAACACAATATATAAAGGTAAACAAAATATTATCATTGATATTGTGGGCTTCTTTATGCCTACATTATAAATAGTAATTCTGGTTGAGCAACCTTAACGGTTCTGTATTGTATGATTAATTAGTCATTGAATAGTTTACCTAGTTTAATCTACTAACAATAAGAAGTATTTTTCCTTTTTTTTAAATAACATTATTCCCCTCGAAATTCCGTATCCAAGGATGATTCTACAACTAAATACAAAGAAGTCAAACAGTATTCCTAACGCAGGATCTTCTCGGAACGAATTCCGGATCAAGGATTAAGTGAATCGATGCAACCTGATTAGCATTTCAATTCCAAAGAATTTCCAATGCTCATGCGAAATTGCTTTTCGTTTATTTTGATGTCGGAATCGGACATAGCGTTGCTTTTGCTATGCAATGAAAATTGAAAGAGATAATTTTGTACATAAATATAAAAGGATAATAAAAAATAAATTAGAAATAGAAAAATTTTCTCTGTAACGATGGTATAAATTATAATACACAGTAGTAAAAAAAATTTCTATATTTGTTCAAAACGTAGAAATGCAAAGCAATGATATAAAAATTAATGTCAATAACCGAAAACTGTTAATGCTGCATAGAATATAATATTTTTAAACTGGTGTTTTTAAAAATTATTAAAATTAAAATAAAAAAAAATTGTATTTAATTGCAGACTCGATCACGCAGTGTATCGACTGGCAAACTTGTGATAACTCGCGCCGTACAATATAGCCTGGCCGATGACTATATAATAGCCGTTAACACTCGTAAATGTTACCGCCAGCGCGTGATGAACCAAGAATTGCAACATGATCCACGTGATTCTAAATTGGGACGTAATTCTGAGTCTGGCGACTATTTTAATTGATATATTTTCTATTATTATTTATTTTTAATTACTAATAATTTTTATGTATACACATATATAATAGTAAACTATTTTTTTCATTAAAATGCAGTTGTATGTTATAAACTCTTCATGAGTATGTTGTTCATATTTGATTTTAGTTTCCAAATAAGATATCATGCTCGTGGTTTTAGTGTTTTTTAATTAATTTGCCAGGGGTGTAAAACCTATGAAAAAGTCAAACTGATACTTAAAACATATTAAAGCTTATTAATAAAAAAAAAATAGGGGCAAATTCTCCGATAAAATAGTTGCCATAATTTATTTAAGTTTTAATAAAATATAAATCGCGCTCAAAAACAAAAACAACAATTCCTTTGATTTTGTAAAAAAAAGATTCATCTAATATTTCCATAACAGTTCATTTTACCAAAAACACACGTTCATTTTAAGTGTTGTGACAGATATCACACTTCAACTTTCCTTTGAAACTCCTTACATTATGTGACACCTTCGTATATATAATAATGAAACACATCATATACTTATAATGAGAACGCGACACCTCGGGTTGACAGACCCTGTGTTTGTACGGAAGACGTACGACTGGAATTCCTATTTGCACTCCCCTGCTGAGTTTCCTATATATAATATGGAAAGGACCCTGGTTTTATTTTAGGCTCATTTTATATTCCAGTCGTAACCGCTCTAGACTAGGCTACTTTGCAAGCCCGTGTACTCATGACAGAGTTTAGCAACAAGTAAATGAATAAATAAATGCAAAGAGGGTAATAAACGTCACGAAATTTTTACTATTTTCGATAGAGGATGTTCTCTCTTCCATTTAGGATTTGCTAGAGTAGCCCAAAGGTCTATTGCATATGACCAGATATGAATTATTATTGCCTTATAAATCAAAATTTTGTTTTCGAGTACTATTTTTGAATTATGTCCAAAAAGCCAATAAAGTTTCCTAACTCTGGATTTGATAGTTTTGATTTGTTTGTGAAGTGGTGTTCCATGTTAGTCTGCGATCTAGATGCTAGATATTTATTTGTGTGACTAAATTTACCACAAAGGTTGTTCATCCCTGACAGGGTGAATCTATATATACTATACTATAAAACTCCCTTTGATGATATTGCTGTTCTGAATGAAACACGTGCCGGTTTCGATCTGCTACTACTTGTAGCACAAGAAATGCATGTGTAATGTTAACTTTTGAACTTAAATATCACCCTTAACCCTTTGCAATATATTATATAATACAGCTGATATTATTGATATGAATAGGTAATACTAAATAGCAAGCATTAGTTGTTCAAAAAAAAAAAAGAAAAATGAACAAGATATACAAAATACATCGAACTCTTCATTTTGACAATAGGTACTCGAATCGAGTGCAGGTAATAAGCACAAAAATTTGATGTAAAAATCACTTTTTGAAAAATTGAGTTGTGTTGTGATACTTATATTTTTTGTACTCCAGGCAATTGACATTCATTGAAAAAGTGCTTTTTTTAGGGTAAAAATAACCATTTTCATTTTGTCATGATTCATGTTTTCAAAATAATTTTACACAGATTGTTTTTTAGTTAAATTTGACCATTTTCATTACATCACATTACATGTTCAGAAATTATGACCAGAAATTATTCTGCAAATCCAAGCATTAAAGAAATTCATAAGACATAATATAAAAAACTGCACGAACATTTTACAAGTCAATTTCCAACTCAATTACAGCCCTCCCCAAAAAAACGCCATAATTTGCTTATGTAATTTTTTAGGAGGCACTTAGAAATTAAAGTGAACGTATTTATTCAAGACTGAGAAATTATTTTCGTTTGTTATATCTTGTCCATTACGTTTATTAATGTAGACGGTTTGACGATAAGAAGATTATATATTGGTATTTTTTTTCAAATAAGATGGATTGGAAGTAAATCGCATTATTTTATAACTTTGTGTGATATATTTTTAGATTTCGTAATTAAAGTGAATGGCATTAAAATAATTAATTTAGTAGCTTCATCGAGTGAAAATGAAAATTGAATTATGAATTTATAAGTTATAAGACACCGCAGTGAAAGGTTTTTTGAGCTTATTTTAAAAAATGATTTCAAAAAATTTTTATTATCGAATATGTAGTAGGCGGTTTAAGCGATTCAGAATGACTCAAAACAAGAAATTGGAAAATAAGATATTTTGGCGAAAAGATAAACTGCACCAAGAACTTAATGAAAAAAATAGTTTTTAACCTAAAGTAATTCGACAAACTTAGGAGCCAATTCTCAGTTAAAATAGAAACGTTATGTTATGGGCCTATAATCGTATGAGTTGGTAGTCATAGCCTGTCAAAAATCTATCTAAACTAAAAAATTAACTCCAATTGGCTTAAACATTATGATTTCAACTTTGGTTAGACTTCACGTATGTGTTATCAAAGCGACATCAGAAATTGCACTTATGATAAAATTGTTATTGGACACTTGTGACTTTTAGAGGTTAGCTTTATGTATGGACGCTCGATCTTCAGTAAAAACATGGCTTTAAGACGGTTCATGACTCATACGACTATAGATCCGTAACATAACATTTCTATGCTATACGAGAATTGCTCTCTGAATTATAGATTCATATTGGAACAACAATATTTAAATTACAATTGTAAAGAAACATGATTCAAAACTTCAATAAAATGTGCAAGAACATGTCTTCTGCATAGAATATTTTTTCCAACTCTTTTCCCCAAGCTGTGTATAAATATAGACGCCACCATCATCCGCTTGGAAATCGAATTAAACACGATTCTGAAGACTGAATATTATAAAAAATTGCTTTAATGTCGCGGTATATTATTTTGCCGCGAAGCATCCTGTATTATTCGTGTTGATAAAATAAAAAGGCGACTGTCACATTTTCCATGTCTGCACTTCGTCGCCGGTTAATTATATTTAGAACAATGACACAGAAATAGCAAACCGCGTAATAACCGGGGGTGAAGAAATTCACCCTTAACTTCGCCGACGTTGTTGACAAGCGACTTGAGGGTTTTTGTTCGACAATTATGAAAGTGTTATTAATTTTTTTAATTATATTAATTTGCTAAATGGTTGTCGAGATGCATTAGATGCATCAAGTACACTGGTAATGGGATCAGACTTATTTTGAACTTAACTTTACGTAATTAATCAAAATCATTTAATGTTATATTATAAGATTTATATCAAAATTAATTCCTAAATGATTAGAATTGATATTTTTGATGGACAAATTTACTATTAATTTTTGGCTACCTGGTTTGCTGCTTGTATAACTACCTGCTTTTACTACCTGGATAAGAGTAGGCATCTCGATAAATTAATTATATATTAAATCAAAAGGAAATATAATATTCATGATCATGATTCTTTAATATAGTGAAAAAAACTAACTAAATCCGTTTCTACTATATTAAAAGATTATGAAAATGTATAATTTGAATCATTTTGATTTAACATATAATCAATTTCCTGGTACTAAAAATTGGTACAAAAGGGATATTTTTGAGATCTCTATTTTCTTTTATATTGGTCATATAATATGAAACTTGAACATTTCCGACATTTTCCTAATATTTTTGCTAAATACTTTAAATTCCCATTATAGTATTAAAATAATCATTCAAAATTTACTCACATTGTTTGCTACCGAATCCTCTCCTGAAATTTAGATTCCATCGAGTACATCTGAAAAGAATAAATAAATATTAATATCACGATAAAATAAATTATTTTATAATATTACAAAAATAAAACATAGTTAAGCATAAGTAGGAATTATATGCAAAATTAACCACGATCACCGAAAAATGGTCTCAATTTCACCAAAACTTTATGTTGAACGTGAAAGCTCATAATTCTCAAACAAAGTGAAATATTTTTTTCCAATTTTTTTCAGAACAGTTACGGTCAATACTATCACTCCTATTCGGTTTGACGTTGAGTTCTGGGGCATCTTATGGAGATATATATATATATATATATATATATATATATATATATACTGTTTTCCAATTTCACATTCGCACTAAGCTCCAATTCAGTTTTCCTGTATACGATGTAATTAGAAATCGTTTCACGCGGCTCTGGTTCTCCACCTCACAACTCCCAATAGTCCATTGTATAAAAAATATTACCGTCATAAAGCATCGCAAGAACAAAAGTCATTTAAAACGCTTAATACAGTCTAAGGATCCATCATTTCCCACAAAAAGGTCCTTCGACACAGAAGGACTCGCTTTTCTTAGGTTTTCCCCACGATTTTCCGTTTCCTTTTAGAGGAAAATACAACGGCCAGAGGAAAGGAAAAAAAATGCGCTCACGAAGCAACTCCTCGTGTATTCACGTTGCGAACGTCACTCCACAAAGGCAAAAACTCGGTTCGGAAAAAAGCGTTCAGCGGCATATAAAGAAGAAGCAAAAATAGGGGATGAAAAACGAAAAAATTGTGAAAAAAACGGCCAGAGTTCGAGAAGGGCGGTTGACAGGCAGAGTCAGAAGTCGATGTGAAGATTATGTCGTTGCCAGACAATTTAGAAGTTTAATTTTATTAATTTAAAATACAAAGTTGAGTAATTTAATGTCAGTGGATTATGGTCTATTTTGCATTTTGTGAAGGGCGTAATCTTCACCGTATTAACCTTAAAAATCAGTGCAAATGGCATAGTATTATGAATTTAATAGCGCAACATTTTAATTTTATTAGTGAGTGCTACACTTCGCATTTGCATATCAAGTTTTTTTATAAATGTTTATTGGCATCCATTATTTACAAAACTAGCATTTTAATTTATATAGATACAGGATAAGACCTTCTCTGTCCTAAGAAAAAAATAGAAAAAAATATCTCAAATTGATTGAAAATTATGAGCTTTTAAGTACAACCTTGAATTTTGGTGAAATTATTACCATTTTTTGGTCGTTGTGGTTAACCACAACGATTTTATTAATTTTATTAACTCAAAGACTTTGAGAGGCTTTGCACTAGAGTGTGAGAGAAACATATGAACTAACTTTTAAACATCTGAAAAACTCTTAACATTTTTCAAAAATCTATATTTACTTCAACAAAATAAAATTAATAAGCATCAGTAAATATTTCCAAAGAATATTTTATTACTTTCGACATACATCGACAACTCTATTTCGAATGATAGGAAGGCAAACGCTACAAATCACCGATCAGCCTGGGATCAAATAAAATACAATTGCTACAAGACGAGGGTTAGGACAAAGGACACGGAAACATTTTGCACAATTTCCTAGCAGAATACCGCATGCAATATATCAAGGTAAAAAAGCAGATATCCTGAATATGCTGCAGCAATATGATGTATGGGATATATCTAAAATCAAAGCGTTCGCATACCGAGAGAAAACGATCGGTCATCATTATTTTCAACTGGCGAAAATATTTTGTGCCGTAGACTGTAAGTATAAAACTGTGATATAGGTTATCTTAACCAGTTAACTGTGACGCAATCATTGGAATGTACGCAAGGTTTTGTGTCGTCAGAACCGAAATAAAATTTTATATTTGAGACAAAATACCACCTACAACTATTTATTTTATACCGGCATAACCTCATGATATTTTAAGTAGCTTGATATTGAATATTTTCAGTATAATTTGCTTCTTGGAATCAATTTTAATTTTTTGAAATTGGCGCCCGGGTCGTCGCGCAGGTGTCGATGCCCACAAGATGCAGAAATAAGAGTATATATGAAACCTTGCTCAGTGAACAAGGTTTAATACTTGAATATAATTTAATAACTTGAATGTTCTTTTTTGACTTGACACTTTTTTTAAATTAATCAACATTGAATATCATTTATCCTATTTCATAAACATTAATTGCCTTTCTAAATATTAAGACAAGAGCCAATATTTCTCGGTTGGCGAACAAATGGCAGAATTCAATTTTACAACTAAAACAGTGACTCCATTGTTCTCGTCGTGAAGAATAAATATATTGAAACCGATGTACGAATCACTATGTGCAAACTCAATGGAATCGTTTCGTCGACTTGAATTTAGAAATGGGATTCTCTGAGAAGTGCTTTAGAA